GGGGGGGGGGAAGAAATCCCACCCCTCTTCCCCCTCCAACCTGTATGTAGCAATGCCAGAAAGGTTAAGATTTGTCGATCCACCATTCTGAAAGGAAAAAAGTCTTTCCTTTGTTCCAGAAAAAGGCACTAGCCACAGCGAACTAAAGGCAATCCTCAACTTACAACAGTTCATTTAGCATCCGCTCGACGCAAAAAAAAAAGGGGGGGGGACGACTGATGACCATGTTTTACACTTAACGACCGTTGCAGCCTCGTGATAAAAATTCGGAACGTATTTATGACATCCCCTTTTGTGACAGTCAACAGGGGAAGCTGGAATTCGCTTAACAGGCGTGTTACTCGTTTAACGACGGGCAGTGGTTCTCACTTTGCAACCGTGGGCAAAGGCAGGCCGTCAAATGGAGCCAAGCTTACTTCCGCGAAAGGTCTTGGTTAGAAATTTGGCGGTTCCACTGTAAGCCGAGGGCTACCTATAGTCCATGGTACCGTGGACAAATTGGGCTAGATTTGTCCCCTTCTCCCCTTCCCCCACCCCCAGGGCATGTGGTTGCCCCCTCCTCTGTGAAAAATGAAAGCCCTGAAGAGACCCTCCCATCTGGGGGGGGGGCAAACCCTTTTCTCTTCACCTCTTTCCCAAGATAACCAAAAAAAACCCCCTCCAATCTTTGCATGCAAATTGAGGAATCCAGCTAATTGACCAGGAAACAATCGAAATTCTCCTCCAAGACCCCAGAGGTAGCCCCTTCCCCAATTTTACAGCCCCCCCCCCATGCTTTGACATCAAAGTGCTTTTCCAAAACGTGGGGGAAGGGGCAGGATTTTCCTCCCCCCCCCATTTTCCTCTCCTTCGCTTCTGCAGCTATTGTTCCCTTTCTTCTCACTGGGGCGTGGGGCTGTTCTCCCTCAAATCGAGGGCAGGGGCCGCGCAAAGGGGAACGGGGGGGGGGAATAAAATTTGCACCCTGTTTTCGGGTTTGGATGGAGAGAAAAGCACAGCGGCCCCATCGGAGAGGGGATTACAGGTGTTAAATTAAGTCAATTTTTTTTGTCCTTATTTTTACCACCTCTCTTGCCACACCGAAGTGGGGTCTCTGCGGCCGTTAAATGAGTCACAAGGTTGTTTTTAAGGCAATCTGGTTTCCCTCGTGGAGATAGCTCATCAGGAGGTCGCAAAAGGGGATCATATGACACTCCCCACCCCCCAAGACGCTACGACCATCATAAATAGGAGCTACCATGATCCCATGATCCACGCAAGTGTGAAAAACGGAAATCGGCCACTTTTTTCAGGGCTGTTGCAACTTCACCGAGCGGAAGTATCCCAGGGTCGTATTTTGTGAAATGGAACCAGACACCTTCTAAATAAGACACCCCCCCCCACACACACACCCCAAAAAAAGAGGAGGAAGGAAAAACAGACCAAAGCAAACTGAAAGAGACAGTGATGGCAGATTATGGGAACTTCCACTGAAGTTTCGAATGAGGTTTTGAGCCAAAAAAAAAAGCAGAATTATGGTTTAATGCTGGAAGAAGTTTATGAAGAAGGGTTGTAGGAACTGGGTGTGGCCAGTTTAATGAAAAGAAGGACTGGGGGTGACATGATAGCCGTGGTCCAATATATGAGGGGGTTCACCTATTCGCCAAAGCACCAGAAGGCAGGACAAGAAGCAACGGATCGAAACCCATCAAGGAAAGAAAATCTGAAATGGGCATAGGCTTGGGCAGGGGGCTGGACTAGAGGACCTCCAAGGTCCCTTCCAGCTTTATTCCCCCAACCAGCTTGCTTTAGGAGGGGTGGACTTCAACTCCCAGAATTCCCCAGCCAGTGTGCTTTAAGATGGTTTTTTTTTTTTTTTAAACTCCCAGAATTCTGGAAATTAAAGTTCACTCATTTTAAAAGTTTTTAAAAACTGCCCTAGGCCGTTAAATCAGCTGTTGTCCTAGATATTCCTGGCTTAGGATCTCGGTTTACTTCTTGGGGAATCAAAGGAGAGAGATTGCTGTCTAAGAATACCCCAAATTTAATACCCAGAAGGATGCAGAAGTAAAAAAAAAATTTTTTTAATCAGAACAAGTCTGGGTCGAGTCAGGCTAAGGAGGCACAAGGGAACGCCTGGTTTCTAGGTTCACAAAGTTCTCGCAACACGCTTAGCCACGCTCAAAACGCAAACCCAAGATTAAACCACCTCCCAAGCCTAGGGTAAGGTGTGAATGCGCCATCTTCAGCGAACCCGGTTAAAAATATCCCGAGAACTCTGCAAACCTGTGAACTGTTCCTAAATAATTCCCCCCCCCAAAAAAAAATTTTTTTACACACCCGATGAATATACTCTGGAAATACAACTCTCCCCCAAATTTCACCCTAGCCTTTTCCCTTCCCCTTTGCAAACTCCTCCCAGAAAGAAAGAAAAAAAAAAACGGCCATCACCCTATAATTTTTGGAAACTTTGCTGGAGGGCAGCATTTCAAGCCTCTGAGACCCCCCCCCAAAAAAAATAACACGGAAGGGAGAGGTTGGTTCAGCCATCCCTCCATTGCCATTGAGATGGCACAAGGGGGGGGGAGGGGAGGCGGTGGTGACCAGTCGCTCCAGAAACGCCCCCCCCTCTTCTATCCACCGGGCCATTTCATGCAGGGGAGGAGGGGGGGAATCACCCCCTCGCCCCACAGCCAGACGGGAAGGGGGGGGGCTTCTTAAAACGGGGTGGGGGGTGGGGAATGATGCTCACGCAGGGTCGGGTGGGGGCTGCGGGGTGGGAGGCTTGGATTCTTTGGGGAGGGAGGGGGGGAATCAAGAGAGGGGAGGACCCCCCCTGCCCCTAAGGGTCTGCAAAGAGCGAGGGGTCCCTCAATGGGGAAGAAGAAGGGGAGGGTGGTCCAGCTTTTGTCTATTTGTCGGCCCCCCCCCCCCCCCCACAAAAAGGGGGGGGGGGGACGGGCGGGAGGGGGATGCGGCTGGAAAGGACCGGAGCGCGACTCCCACGTGCCCGGGGAAAGGGACCCCGGCTTCGCTCGCTCCCCTCCCCACGTTGCAAAGGGGCTGCCCCGCATACACACCCCAGGGGGACGGGAGGGGGAAGGGGAGGGGAGAGGCGGTCTCGCCAGAGGTGGGGTCCCTCGGCTTGACCTTGCCATGGGGCGCGCCCCCCCCCCACTCTGGCCGGCTGGCCGGCTCCCCAGCCGCGCACATCTGGAGCGCTCTCTCTCTCTCTCTCTCCTCCCCTCCCTCCCCTTTTCCTCCCCCCCCTTTCCCTTTCTCTCCCTCCCTCCCTCCCTCCCTCTCACCCTCTCCCGCGCCGGCGCGCGCGCGCGCTCCGTCCTCCCCCCCCTCCCTCCCTCGCCTCCGCGCGCCTCTGGCCAGATGTGCAGGCAGGCGGGCGGCGGAAGGGTCTGGGGGAGGAGGAGGAGGAGGAGGAGGAGGAGGTGCGAAGGCAGGCGGGGGGACTGGATCTACTTTCTCCCAACCAGCAGCCGGAGAGGCAGAGCGGGGCGGAGGGGGGGGGGGGGGGGGGGGGGGGGGCGGGGAGGAGGAGGAGGAGGGAAAGCGCCGGGCTGCGACTCATTGTGCGCGCGGGAGGGGAAGGGAGCGGGTGGCGGCGGCGGGAGGAGGAGGAGGAAGAGGAGGAAGGAGGAGAAGGGAACAGCGCTCGCAAGGAGCCCTCGGCCGCAACTTTTATTTTTATTATTTTTATTTTGCGCTTCAAGGGCCGGGGGGGGCCTGGAAACGGGGGTGGGGGCGGGGTGGGGGTGCAGAACTCGCCTTTCTCCCCTTTGCAACTCGGGAGTTGCAACCTCCCCCTTTGCCCAAGTTGCTGCATCTCCCCAAAGAAGGGGGGAAGGGGGGGCACGCGCACAGAGGCTGTTTTAAGGGCTCGAGGGGGGGGCGCTTCCAGGGGGCAAAGAAAAGCCCCCCCCCCCCGGCTTTTCCACCTTCCTCGGGTTTTTTTTTTTTTTTAAAAAAAAAAAAAAGTCCCCCCCCCCCTTCTGTTTTCCCCGTGTTTTTAGGGAGAGCATCCGGGGTCCTTCTCGGCGACGCCCCCTGCCCACTCCTCCTCCTCCTCCTCCTCTTCCTCCTCTCCCCCTCGGTCTCCACTCCCCCCCCCCCCCCCGGCCCCGGCCGCCCCTGCGGCCTTCCCACACCCCCCCCCCCACCTCCGCCGCCCCTTCTCGCTCCGCCTGCGCCCGGTCCGGGGAAGTTTAACGTAACTTTGCAAGGCGGCGGCGGCAGCGGCGGCGGCGGCGGGTGGGTGGGAATCCCACGCGAGAAGAAGGGAGGGGAAGCGGAGCGCGCGCGGCGAGGAAGAAGAGGAGGAGGAGGAGGAGAAGCCTCGGCGCAACCCACCCACCCGGCCAGCCAGCCAGCCGGCCGGCCGGGGCTTCTGGGTCGGGGAGTCCTCCCGGCCCGCCCAACTTCGCCCCTTTGCGCCTGCCTGCCTGCCTCCCTCCCTCCGCCGCCGAGCGATGCTGGTTCTCGGGCGGCTCTGAATTTGGGGAGTCGGGGCACACGGTGGGAGGCGGGGAGGGGGCGGCGGGCACCGGGGCTCCGTCTTCCCCGAGAGGCCGGAGCGAGCGATGCCTTCCGTCATGGAAAAATCGGGGATCCTCTCCAGGAGCCGGGCCAAGTCGGCGACCAACGGCACCCACCCCAACTCCGAGGACGAAAGCAGCGAGGAGGAGCACTCGCACGGTGAGCCTGCGGGGGGGGGGGGGGCAGGGGAGGAGGGGGGGGGGGAAGAGGAGGATCGGGGTCCCCACCCGGGGTCCAGAGCCCCCCCTGGGTGAGGACCCCAATGGGGGGGCAACGGGGGGGGGGGACCTCGCCGCCCTGCTTTGCGCTCTGCCCCCATCCGCCTTCGCCCTGCTGGGGTGGGGGGAATCCGGGGGGGGGTGGGACACGACGCGTGTGTGTGTGGTGGTGGGGAAAGTGGGGGGGGTCTGATCTGGAAACCCCCCCCTCTTCCTCCTCCATTGGCTGGCCCGCAACTTGCCAGCCCAACCATAACAATGAGGCGGTGGGCGAAAGGGGTGGGCAGCGCGGGACTGGGGGGCGCGGAGTTTATGCGGGGGGGGGGGGGGGGGGGGGCTGGGGTGGAGAAGGGGAGGCCGGAGGTCTGGGTCGCGTGGGGGGGGGGAAGCCTTGCAGCCCTCCCTTCCCCCCCTCCCCGCTCCCGGGGTGAGACAATGCCCTGCCCCCCCCTCCTCCCCCCGCCGTCGGGGGTACCTTTTGGGCGATCTCCTTGCCCGCCCCCCCCCCCGGTCCGCCAGTGGGGGCGAGGAGGAGAAAGGATGCTCCGGGCCGCTTTCCCGCCCCCTCCTCCTTCCCATTCCCCCCCCCCAAGCCTAAAATGGGGAAGTTGGCTTTGAGAGCGCTCCATTGGGTTTAACACCCCCCCCCCCCAGCCAACCCTTAGCTCTTCCTACCCTTTAGGCATGGCGGGCGGGCGGGGGGTGCTAAGCTTCCTGCACCGCCCCCCCCACCGGCTTTTGTTTAGCATCTCTAGGGGAGGGGATGTGGAAGGAGCCTCCCCATGCCTGGGGCTGGGGAGGGGGGGGGCGTCTATTCCTCACGCAGCCACGCTTCTCGGATGGGGGGGGGCGGGTGGAAGGAGAAGCGTGCTTGCAAGGCTACTGCTGGGATCCGTGTTTTCCTGGGGTGGGGAATCCAACCTCCCTTCCCACCTTGGTCAGCTAGCAGACCGCCCCCCCCCCCGCCCACCTTTTGGGGGCTTCTGGGCAAGCGTTTGCTAATTCCAGCCCTCCCCCCAATGACTACTTCCTTGGTGGAGGGGGGGGCAGGGAAGGACAGCTCTCGGGCTCTTTTCAGATGCCATCTGTCTCTGTCAAGTCATCCCCACCTCCCTGGAAAGGCCCACCAAGGGCCAAAGCTACCTGGGTTTTCCCCACGAAAGGCGGGAGGTATTGTGTCTCCGTGGGGGGGGGGGGGAGGAACAGAGGTTGCACGACACACACACACACACACACACACACCCAGAAGCCACAAGGTGTTTGGGAGTTGAAATGGCCCACAGCCACCTCTCCGATCCCATCCCGGGATTAAAAAAAGAGAGAGAGAGAGAGGCTGGAGGGTGGAAGTTACCCCAATTCTGAGATCCTTCCCAGCTGCCCCCCCCCCCAAAAAAAACCCACCCCCCACACACATGTGTTCCTGGGACCTTGTGCCAGGAAGGGGAAGCTTGGGAGCTCCTTGGCATGTCATTGGCTAAATGTTTCCAGATCTTGCTGCTGCTTAGCAGCTGTTTGAGGATATCAGACGAGGGAGGAAAGGGAGGTGGAGTAATGGAGGGGAAGGAAAGAGAAGGAAGGAAGGAAGGAAGGAAGGAAGGAAGGAAGGAAGGAAGGAAGGAGATGGAGTAATGAAGGGGAAGGAAAGAGAAGGAAGGGGAAGGAAGG